CGAGACCTGTTTGGCGAGTGGGAGCCGTTGTTGGATGATGCCTCGGCTGTACGGGCAGGCCCCTCTGTGCAATTGATATATTTGTGTGGCTGGTCGCGCTGACTGTTTTAACTCCCGCAACGTAAGTACGCGCGCGTATCAACGCGTTGTTGAGCTTCTGTCGCGGGGAGCGGTGGTGCAGCGGTTAGCGCTGCGCTACAAACCCGGCGACACGGGTTCGATTCCCGCTCACGGCCAACACCGGCGACGATTTTCCGAGCCGGTACTGGGCCACCCCCTAGGTCGACTCAAAATGAGCAGCTGGTGCGGTGTGTAGTAAACATCGCCACTGGGGAGACAAAAGCGGTCGGGCGTGGTGCTGGCCACCCACCCCGTCGTTTACCGTTCCGGCCTTCATAGGTGCTCGCTAACAGCACTTGCCCCTACAGTCTGTTAAGGCTACACGGGGGATCTTTTTTTTTAGCTTCTATCGAAACATACGCAGCCGACCGTGGCTCAGAAATGAGTTTTCAACCCCTTGATGACTTAAACGTGCGTAGCTCGCAGTGGCTTCTGGTCATCGGAAGGAAGAGCGTTCCAGACGGCCGCAGAAGCGATCCTTAACAAAGGCTCACCCTCTTAAGCACAGCGTGCTGTACTTGGCCCTTCCCCCCTCTCCAACCATTATATAAACGGAGTGGTAGCTCTTGCAATCTCTCATTTACTTGATACAGCTATCGTGGCTGTGACGGTTCCTATTTGAAGACGGAAGCTTGTTTTGCCTCCGAAACGTCGTGATTTTTATTTTATTTTGCTTTTATTAATTTTAATGTTTTACCTACGTGACTTTACCGAAAAAACCTAAGAATACGATCCTTAAACGCGCGGCGCTGTGATCGTCTTTGTCCTACGGCTCAGCCGAAAGGCGTTTTGTTGCCAGATGAAAGGGGTACTGGCAAAGGAGGTCCCATGATGAAGATGCTCACCCCGAGCTCTCATTCCACTGATAGTGGCATTGTCCTTGTGCTGTGTACGCCTATTGGCGTCCTCTGGTCTAACACCGTTTGAGACGAGGCTCAGCAGAACGTGTGTTTTTTGTTTGCATTTTGACCACAAGTATTGTGGTTAATGCAGACATGATTCCTTGTAAAAGGTTTCAGTTTGGTGTTTTAACAACTCAACATCTGATAATTGGTGTTTTACCCTTTTATCTGGCAACAAAACTGACACCTTTTTTACGAGGAGTCATGTTTGCATAGACCACAATACCTGCAGTCATAATGCAAACAAAAAACATAACTCTGATAATGTATACACTGTCCTTGAAGTTGAGCTCTCATACTCTGATGGTGCATTGTCTTTGAGTTGTGCGCCTTTTGGCGTCATCTGGTCCAACACCATGTGAGACTAGGCTCTAAGGAAAGCTGTCTCGGGTGTGGACCAATCAACTTCAAGGACAGTGCATCCATTATCAGAGTTGTGTTCTTTGTTTGCATTATGACTGCAGGTATTGTGGTCTATGCAAACATGACTCCTCGTAAAAAATGTGTCAGTTTTGTTGCCAGATTAAATGGTAAAAAAACAATTATCATATTTTTTACTGGCAAATGAGGTACCAACGGTGTAAACTCAACATCTGTTTTGTTGCCAGATAAAAGGGGAAAAAACCTATTCTCAACTATTTTGTACTTTACCAGGTAAGGCCCACTGAGCTACGTAGCTAATTTTTCACAAGCGACCTGGCCACAAATGATAGTCCAACGAAGTGGCTTATCGCGTGGAACATTTACAGCGGCCAAATACTCTAAACGCACGTGAAATAAGTATAACCCGTAAAAACAAAGTTTTTCACTATAAATCCTTTATATGCGTGGCGGCTAGAGTCCTCTCGTCCTCTGGCTTGAGATGGCTGCCACCTATGGGTCAGATGATTGCATTGCACCATTAAGCAATTGGTAATTAAATATAATATTTTTGTCCTAAAAAGCGTAAAATTTTGGAAAATTTTTTTCACGAAAATGCATTGTCACGCACAACGAGTCTGTGTGGAAAATGTCAGCTCGATTGGATCACGGAAAGTGGGTTAAAAACGACCGAATGATTTGCACGGTCCTAAGCAAGCAAGCGAACTTAATATAAAGGATTTAAAAACCGGAGGACCCGGAAAAAAATCCACGCGACCACGGGGAAGACAGAGAGAGAGAGAGACGAAAACTCCAAATATACAGCAGGTGTCAATGGTTGGGATCGAACCCACAGCCACCTGCATATGAACAAAAAAAAGTTTGTTTCCCTTTGTGGCAATAAAAAAGTGGTGTTAATATGTTCAAACACCAAGCAGAAACTTTTTGCAAGGAATCGCCTTCTGGCTTCCTCTGGTCTAACACTAAGCGATTGGGTCTTTCGGTGAAGTCAAGTAAATAAAAAAACAATAGATCACGACGTTTCGATCGCAACACAAGCAATCGCCTTCAGGTGAGAGCCTCGTCTCAAACAATGTTTGAGCCTCGTGGCTCTAAAGAAAGCTGTCTCCGGTGTGGACCTATCAGTTTCAAAGACAATGCATCATAGTCTTTGGTTCTTTCGGTAAAGTCACATCGGTAGAAATGAAACGAAATAAATGGCGACGTTTCGATCGCAACACAAGCGCCCGTCTTCAGGTGAAGATCGCGATAGCCACGATGTCTGCTGCCTTGGTGCATCGTACACTTACCAGGGCATGTTTCTTTTGTTTGCATGTTGACCACATGCATATGTGGTTAATGCAGACATGATTCTTAATCTAAGTTGTCTTGTGGTTGTTGCTGTTTGACTTGCATCCCACTGGGATATTTGCACAGGGTTGGTGTACGGTGATTTTTCTGCAATATTTTGCTGTCTTTTCTTGGATTTTCTGTTTGCACATAGTCACATAGTCACTTTAAGATGTTTTCTTGTTCATGTTTTTGTTTTTTTAAATCCTTCATATTAAGTTCGCTTGCTTGCGTGCTTGCGTGCTTGATTGCTTGCTTACGACCGTGCAAATCTTTCGGTCGTTTTTTAACCCACTTCCCGTGATCCAATCGAGCTGACATTTTGCACACAGACTCGTTGTGCGAGACAATTAATGTTCGCGAAATGTTTTTTCCAAAATTTTACACTGTTTAGGGAAAACAAATTAAATATTTAATTACCAATTGCTTAATACTGGCAGACAATCATCTGACCCATAGGTGGCAGCCATCTCAAGCCAGAGGACGAGAGGACTCTAGCCGCCACGCATATAAAGGATTTAGAGTGAAAAACTTTGTTTTTACGGGTTAATTTTTGTTTGTTGCGGTTGCACCCGATTCAAGAGCGGAATGGCTCACAGAGCTATACCTAATAAATGAACTTTGAACTTTGATTCCTTGCAAAACGTTTCTGTTGGGTGTTTTAACATCTTAACACAGCTGTTTTATCGCCAGAAAAGGTAAACACCTATTCTCGCACGCTTGATGTGCGTCACGTGGGCGGGTTTTTCGATGACGGTCACTTTTATAACCATGGGAGAACTGCACTGCATCTTTTCGATTTAAAGCTTTCGTGACTGCAGGGATTCATCTTCTTGGTTCTTTCGGTAAAGTCACGTAGAAGGGAAATAATAAAATAAAAAAAGTAAAACATTATTTTATTATGTTTTATTTTTATTATTTTATTAAAAAATAAAACATTATTTTATTATGTTTTATTTTTATTATTTTATTATTTCCCTTCTACTATTAAAAAAATAAAAATAAAACATTATTTTATTATGTTTTATTTTTATTATTTTATTATTTCCCTTCTACGTGACTTCACCGAAAGAACCAAGAAGATGAATCTCTGCATCTTGTTGTTTTAAGTGTTGCCTTCGGGGGGTTCAAAGTGCAGGTGAAGCTGTTCTATTCCTTCGATCAAGCCACTGCCGGCTGGCAAGACGCGCTGCTTTTGCGGCCGTCTGGAACGCTCTTCCTTCCGATATTAGGATGCCGCTGAGAGCTACGATGCACTTTTAAAGCGTCATCGAGATAGAAAAACTAATTTCTTCAAGAGCTGATTTTGTGTTAAGTTTGCTGCCCTTCCACCGCACCTCCGGTTAGCACGTTTGGCTACGTACGGTGTGAAATAAGTTCAATGTACGCACATTATAGCCATGAAATAACTGCATTGCCTCTCGTTTTAAGTATTCTTAGGTTTTTTCGGTAAAGTCACGTAGGTAAAAAATTAAAATGAATAAAAGTAAAATAAAATAAAAATCACGACGTTTCGGAGGCAACACAAGCTTCCGTCTTCAGGTGGAACCGTCACAGCCACGACAGCTGTATCAAGTAAGTGAGAGATTGCAAGAGCTACCACTCCGTATATATAATGGTTGAAGAGAGGAAGGGCCAATTACGGCACACTTTTTAATTAATATGGTAAGGTGAGGCTTAAGACTAAGAATAGACTGCATAGTTTTTACGGGTTAATTTTTTTAATTGTCATTGTTACTACGAATCCGTCATGAGCGTTGAGTGACAAACGACGGTACCTAACAATGGACTTAGAGCATTGTTCCTATCACAGTTTTATCGTCGGCACCAACCATCACGTCTCTCTCGCACCACGGAGAAAGAGAGGTCGGCACTGAGTCTTGCGGTCGCAATCGGCACGGCGTTCACTCAATCTTCGGGTTCATTGATGTAAAAAAAAAAGAATAAAAATTCGCGTAAATTTCAAATGCTCAAATTTTGTTGTTGCTTGCTCGTTCAAATAAATCGATAAGGGAAATGTTGAGAGAGTGGAGGAAGACGTGGGAGGAGGAGGAGGAAGAGGAGAAGAGATTTCAGTGGTAGCTCTGCAGTGTCCGCTTCCATGGTGCCGTTCCCTCTCAACGTGGCTCTGCGAGATTTCCCTATCGGCCCCTTCTTCGTGTCGTGACGACGCCAATTCCAGAGGGGGGATAACTTTAAAGTCTTTGTTTTTTTGTACCTTTGGTTTACGCGCGCGCTCTCGTTACAAACAAAAAAATCCATTCCGTGTGAACATGAGGTATTCCTTTATCGTACATCATCAAACAAACAAAACAAAAAACCTTCAAAGGTACGGCCAAACTTTGGCTATACATTAATACACTTGAGAAATCAAAGCATGCATATCATATACATCATCCGTGCGTTTGTAATTCCGGTGAACGTGACTTGCGTGCCACCATACTCGACCGGAATGTGTATGCGGTCTCTTGGTGTCAATAACGTTACACAAATCGGGTGACTAACACACACACACACAAAGGCAAAGATCCCCCGCATAGGCTTGAACAGACTGTAGGGGCAAGTGCTGTTAGCGAGCAGCACCTATGAAGGCCGGCACTGTGGCACACGAGGTGGGTGGGTGGCCAGCACCACGCCCGGCCGCCTTTGTCACCGCAGTGGCGATGTTTAGCTACACACCGCACCGGGTACTCATTTGAGGCCGAGTCGACCTAGGGGGAGTCCCATGACCGGCGCAGATAATCGCCACCGGCGTTGGCCGTCAGCGGGAATCCAACTCGTTTCTTCGGGGTTTGCAGTGCAGCTAACAGCTCCACATCTACCGGATTAAAAGACGCGTCTTGCAGTCCGGAAAACGACGTGATAGCAATGTAAAGCTTTCGTGACTGCAGGGATTCATACTCTTAGTTCTTTCGGTAAAGTCACCATGTAGATAAAAAATGAAATTAAAATTAATTAAAAATAAAAAAAATAACGACGTTTCGGAGGCAACACAAGTCTCCGTCATCAGGTGGGGACCGTCACAGCCAGATTTGCTGCATGTCTGACATGGCCGTTGTTTGCAATTGCACCCGATAATATTAATAAAAAAACATTGTGGTTGAAGTATAATAACCGAACACAATACAGGATATCCCGACAAATTTAACGTGAAAAATATCTAAACCTGTCCCCAAACATGAACTCAAGCACAATATATTCATTTACTTTTTGAAACCGCTCCGTCAAATCAACAACAAGGCAACTCCTATGACTAATTGGGAATGGGATGCAAGCGTAGGATTGATCACCCTGTCGCTGGCCGCCTTTGGGGAGGGTGTATAGTGAGAAAGGCCGAAACACCCTGGGAACCAAAGGTTCACTACTGACGATGCGCTCCCCAAATGTCACCAGGCTCACTATTCATGAACTCTTGGAAGTGCTTGCACAAAGGATAGTAACATCTCATCCTGTGTTCTTGGAATCTTACTTTTGTTTTCGGGGGGGAAAGTGATCCAAGGTCATAAAAAAGACTTCAACAAATCCCGAGGGACTCCATTCAATCCTCAGAACATCAAGGCAAGCTTTGAATCCGGCCACGTGTTTCCCAACGGTTGCGCGTGGGGAGGGGGGACTCTGCCGTCCGGGTCTTCTGCTCCGTGCGGTACCCTGTGCGTGCCTGTGCATGCATGCATCTGACGCTCGCCAGGCCGTGTGCTGCAGATTGCCGATTGTCTTTCCAAGTTCTCTTGCATCCTTGCAGCGACGGCCCGCTTCGGTGCTCCAGACGCAAAACGACGTTAAAGATGCGGGCGTCTGCGCGGATGGTTTTTGGTTTGAGAACGAAACGCGTGGCGTGACAACAACAACCGTTGAAACGAAAAAATTATAATAAAAAAAATTCACAATGAACCACGAAACAAAAACACAAGACGTGGCATAACCCCTCCCGACCCCCCCCGCCCCCCGCCAAACAAACATTCCCTAAACATTCCTGAAAGAGCAGACACGTTCCAACCCTGCGGCGCCAAAAATTTGTTGACCGTGTTACGGAGAACATCGGCAAAGAATGTCCGAACCGGTCACGGGCCTCCCCCCCCCAGGTCCTGTCCTTCCCCCCGCACCTCCGATGAGCAATGGTTTGGCTACGTCTGGTCCGCAAGAAGTTCAATGTACATTGTTGATCCGTAACAGAGGTTTTTTTTTGGGGGGGTGGGGGGGGGGGTTAGCCATCTAACACCTCGATTATGGATAATATTGGTCGTGAAAGCCTACGAGATAAACTGTACATTGTTCTTCGTTCCCCCTGCACCTCTCCGATTAGTGACGGTTGGCTACTTACGTACGTACAGGTCGACTCAAACGAGTACCTGGTGCAGTGTTTTGTAAAAACAACTGCCCCGGCAGGCAATACGGGGGAAGATGACCTTTGACACTTGGTCTTTTGCGTGGATTTTTCTCGCCGGGTCGTCCGGTTTTTATTTTGTTCCCCCCGCATTTAGAATTGATGACGCATTTTAGGTATTTGGCTGCAACTCGAAATTGCCGCGCGATTGAAAAGCAACTTCGTTGAGCTGCCAGGTCGCTTCTGAATAAAATAAGCTACACAACACAGTGGGGACCTTACCCGATAAAAAAACATTTTTGTTAGAAAAAAATAGTTTAAAATAACTTTTGTAATAGTTTCTTTGGCGGACTACGACACGAACGTGCGGATTACGAGCTGGATGGGGCCCCGGCACACGGGGCACGGCCTGTGCTGCCCGTGGAGCCTCTGGGCACAGGCGAAGCACGACACCAAGTGGCCCGTTCCCCCGTGCACGATCGTCGCGTCCCGTCGGCGCACGCGGCAGATCACGCACGTCTCCGTCAGCCCGGCCACCGCTCGCTCCTCGGTGGCGGCCGCTACCGCCGTCGAAGCCTCCTGCTGCTGCTTTCCGCGGCGCTTTGCAGCAGCAGCAGCGGCGGCGGCCATTTTAGCTACCCTGGCAGCCATTTTGACCCCACCGCCGCCATGTCCAACGGCCGTCGCGTCTTCTCCGTTCCCTTCTCCGTCCCCTTCTTCGTCCTCCTCTTCGTCCACCACCTCCACGTCCTCCTCCTGCGCTCCCACCTCGGCGTCGGCCAGAGCCACCGCTGCCACCTCCTCGTCGTCCTCCTCCTCGTCCGAGTCACTGCCCGGGTAGATGCCCGAGTCTCTCTGCGAGTCTCTCCGCGGGGACCAGCAGTAGAGGCAGTAGCGGTGGGACAGCAGGTTCACGATGAGGCACTCGCTGCAACGCCAGCTGCCCTGTGTGCCGAAAACCACCAAAAGATACACGTTTAGAATATCCCCTCGTTATTCGTGAGGGATACGTTCCAGAGATGTTTCGCGGATGATTTCGGCCTACGAAAATCACGCGCTGTGTTTGCCCACTATCACCGTTCCTGTTCCCTCTTCACATTGCCATGATACGGCTACCACTCATCAACCCCCATTCATTCATTCAATCCATTCATCATTATTTATTATCATTAAGTGGCTATCACTCATTAAGCCCATTAATTCAGTACATTCATAATTTACTGTTATAATAATAATTATTCTCATATGGCTATCACTCATTGACCCCATTAATTTAATTCATTCATCCATCATTTACTGTCATAATTATTATTATTCTAATGACATGTCTATCACTCATTAACCCCATTCATTCAATCCATCCATCCATCATTTACTGTCATCAATTTTGCTTTCACCTAATTAACGCATCATCACAGATTTGCCTCCTCTCATCTATTGTATTCACCTCATCTCCACCATTACACTCACACATTGTACCTTTCTTGATTCGCTGTAAAGCGCCTTCGTTAAGGCGCTTCATCAATTCCGATAAGATCTCATAACTTTATATCTCATCGCTTTATCTCTCGTCGCTTTATCTCTCGTCGCTTTATCACTCGTCACTTTATCTCTCGTCGCTTTATCTCTCGCATCACTTTCTCTCTCTCGATGCAGCAGTCGTGTAGAGTTTCAGATGCGAGATTCGTGGATAGCCAAACATCGCGGATGGCCAAGTTCGTGAATAACGAGGGAATATTTTTTTTGATCCCGTGGCTCTCATAGCTCTTATCCAATCCCTCATGGCCTTCCACCTTGTCTCTCCTCTCTCCTTACACCACGGATGAGGTGGGACGTTGCTCGGTTTGCTCGCTTGTGCCAAGAACCAGGGCACCGCAGTGGCTAGGAGATGTTAACCACCTCGCCTGGTATACAGGAAGTCGTGGGCTCGATCCAGACCCTGACGCCTGCTGCTGTATATTTGGAGTTTGTGTCTCTGATCATCATCACGGTGGCTATGATATGTTAACTACCTCGCCTGGTAGACAGGGGGTCGTGGGTTCGATCCTGACCCTGACGCCTGCTGCTGTATATTTGGAGTTTGTGTCTCTGATCATCATCACGGTGGCTATGAGATGTTAACTACCTCGCCTGGTATACAGGAAGTCGTGGGTTCGATCCCGACCCTGTCGCCTGCTGTAGGAGTTTGTGGTCGCGTGGATTTTTCTCCGGGTCCTCCGTTGAATCCCTCCACATTTAGAATCAACGTCACGCGTTCAGAGTGTTTAGCTGCTATACATTTCCACGTGATGATGATAAGCCACTTTGTTGAGCTCTTATTTGTGGCCTGGTCGCTTCTGAAAAAGAGCTACAGAGCTCAGTGGGGCCTTACCTGGTAAAATATGTTTTTTTTTACATGAATGTTGCACAGGTGTGTGACACGTGTGTGTGTGTGTGTACAGGCGTGAGTATTGTACAAGTGTGCATGTTGTACAGATGTGTATGTTGCATAGGTGTAGCGTGGTTGTGTGTGTGTGTGCTGTATAGTGTGTGTTTTGCACGCGTGTGTGTAGAATGTGTGTAGCGTGTGATCTGGACAAAGTCCCATCAGTGAGTTCCTCCGGAAAGCAAAGTCTGCTTTGGCTGGGTCATGCCCAGCCACCGCATGCCTCAACAGCTTTTGTTCGGCCGGATAGAGGGGGCTAAACGGGCGCGGCACGGGCTAGAGAAGAGATGGAGTGGACTTGCCGATGACTGGTACCAGCGGTGTCAAGATCGGCCTCTGTGGAGGAGGCTCGTGAAGGACGCTACTGGGCAGTTGGAGGCAGTCGCCCTCCATGAACAACAACGAGTGAATCGCCGGGCGGCTAAAGCACAGCAAGTTGGCACAATAGGGGGGCACAGGTGGTGCATTGGCCCAGTGATCTCAGTCAGTCGACCCGTGGCACCTGCTGGGTCTGCCCCGTGACCTCCTGCCAGCGGGCGTTCGACACTTCACGTGGCCTCAACGTGCACCTAGCATGGCACAAGCGTCGTGGCGACGTCACCGCCACTGAGTGGCAGTTGTTGTTGTTGTTGTGTGTAGCATGTGCGTGTGTGTGCCCACTTACGCTGGGAAAGGCCGTGTGTGCACGAAGCACGGCAGAGCCGAGGCCTCCTGCATCCGCACCCACAAACTCCGTCTCGCAGGGGCTCTGCGACAGACCAAAGACAAAGATCACCCACCCACCGTGTAGCCTTTAACAGATTGAGGGGCAAGTGCTGTTAGCGAGCAGCAACCTATGAAGGCCGGTACGGCGCACGAGGGGGGGTGGGTGGCCAGCAACCACGCCCGACCGCCTTTGTCTCCCCAGTGGCGATGTTTACTACACACCGCACTGGGTGCTCATTTGAGGCCGAGTCAACCTAGGGGAGGCCCAGGACCGGTTCGGATAATCGTCACCGGTGTTGGCCGTGAGCGGGAATCGAACTCGGGTCGCTGGGGAGATCGCACACACACCCACACAGCTCAGTGTGAAAAATAAGAATATATTTTACTCTTTATGGTAATACAGCAGGGATGTGCTAATATGTTCAATACACCAAATAGAAACCTACTGATTGGCCTACACCAGAGACAGAAGCCTTCTTTGTGGCCTAGTCTCACCACCAGTGTCAGACCAGAGACTAACGCCAAAAAGCGAACAGCACAAGCACAATGCACGTACCAGAGCATTTGATATTGGCAAAAAGGTCCCATAATACACACAGCTCACTCAGCGCACACTCACACCCTCAGGACGGTCCAGTCCACGGGCCGTCGTGAGCCTCCCACCACCACGCCACGGCATCACCAGAATCCAGAGGTCGCAAACGGGTTTTGATTCTTTACCCGTACCCGACCGCACCAGGATCGCAAACGTGTACCCGTACCCGGCCGTACCCTACCCGTACCCGGCAGCGAGCCCAGCAAGCGCGGCTTACCCTACCCGGCCGGGTACGGGTAGGGTAAGCCGCGCTTGCTGGGCTCGCTGCGTCCCCGTGGCACGGCACGGCCGTGTCGGTGGCAAAGGCGGTCCGTGTCCGTAGACGGTTCGCCACGACGCTCCCGGGGGGGGGGGGGGGTTGCAACGCCAACCGGCTCGCTAACTCGCTCGCTCGCTCACTCGCCTCCTCATCGTCGTCGCCGTCGCCCATCCCGTCGTGCAGGTAGTACTCGTCGCTCAGCACGGACGACACCTCGTACTCCTCGTCGAACCCTCGGCCCGCCGCGTCCGACCCGGAGTCGAACCGGGGCTCGCCGGCTCCGGGGTGCGCCGGCGGTTGCGGCGACGGCGGCCGGTGAGGCGGCGGCACCGGCAAGGACGACGACGCCGTTGCCGCGTGCTGAGATGCGGCCCAAGCGGCCGTGCGGGCCTGCTTGTTGGTGGGCGCAGTGGCGGCCTCCATCGCTGAGGGCGAAGCGTCGTCGCCGGGTTACGGTGGGCCATCGTTTGGGAGACAGCGGCGAGGATAACGCGCAGCGAACCGGCGATTGTGAGATGTACGTACGTTGAACTTCTTTCGCGTCACCGTCCGTAGCCAACCGTGGCTAATCGGAGGTGCCGGAGAAGGACAACAAACTAAACAATGATGAAAGGTAAAGTCATATTGCGCTGTCTTTGGGTTGTACGCCTTCTGGTGTCATCTGGTCCAACACCATGTGAGACTAGGCTCTAAAGAAAGCCGTCTCGGGTGTGGACCAATCAACTTCAAGGACAGTGCATATATTATCAGAGTTATGTTTTTTGTTTGCATTATGACTGCAGGTATTGTGGTCTATGCAAACATGACTCCTTGTAAAAAAGGTGTCAGTTTTGTTGCCAGATAAAAGAGTAAAAAAACAATTATCCTGCAATGATTTTGTTTGGATCAAGGGGGAGAGCTGCGGTCCGCGCTGAATGCGGTGGTGCCATGTGCACCCGTGCCCCTTACCGGAATCGGATAATTTCCTCCGAGACGACCGTGCCGGGTTCTCCTCAAGGTCACGGCAATGGTTGGGCATCGCCTGCGAAGGAGGTCAGAGGTCAGAGGGCACGGGGGAGGTGGGTAAAAAAGACAAAAATTAAAAAAAATAAAACATCATCATGGGATCTCGTTTGGCAGGACCAAAACGTGAGAATAGGTTTTTGCCTTTTTTCTGGCAACAAAACAGTTGTGTTACGATGTTAAAACACCAAACTGAAACCTTTTACAAGGATTAATTTGTCTTATTGGCGAGCGGTAGCGCAGTGGTTAGCGCACTGCACTAGGCACTCAGTGAAACAGAGTTCAATTCCAGCTCACCACCAATAACAGTGGCAGCGAATGTTTGAACCGGTCCTGGGTCGTTCCCTAGGTCGACTCAGCCTCAAAATGAGTAACTGGTGCGGTGTGTATTAAACACCGGCACTGGGGAGACAAAGGCGGCCGGGCGTGGTGCTGGCCATCCACCAGAGGTCGCAAACGGTTTTTGATTCCTTACCCGTACCCGTACCAGGCCGCACCAGGGTCGCAAATGGGTACCCGTACCCGTACCCTACCCGAAATGAGTGACAAACGGTGACTCACCAGTGACTCACGGCCTACCCGTACCCGTACCCGGCCGCACCAGGGTCGTAAACGGCTACCCGTACCCGTACCCGGCCGGGTACGGGTAGCCGGGTATCGGGTAGGGTACGGGTATCGGGTACCCGGTTGCGACCTCTGCCATCCACCCCACCCCGGCATTGGCGTGCTATGTCGGCATTCATGGGCGGTGCTCCTATCAGCACTTACCCCCTGCAATTCATGAAACGCTACACAGAATCAGAATAATTATTTATGCCGGAAGAATCTGATGAGCCATCAAGCTCTTTTTCGCAGGCGTCCAATTCGGTGCACGGGGTAAGGACGTTACAACAAACAAAATAAAAACACGATAGGAGTGCGAAGCACAAGAGTGGTAAACAAATCACCAAAACACAAACAAATACAACGAAACCATCCCCACCCATCCTTCCAGACAAGGCTCACCCGAGGTATTTTACTTTTTTTTTAAAGCGACCTGGCCACAAATGATAGCTCAACAAAGTGGCCAAATCACTTGGGCATTTATAACGGCAAAATAATCTAAATAGTATAAACGCACGTTTCTAAACGTGGGAGGGGAAAACCGGATGGCCTGGAGAAAAAAATCCACGCGACCACAGAGCAAGAGAGATGCACATTCTAAATGTCATGAACTTTTAAGATATCACGAAGCGATAATTTATCCGGGTCGCAATAAAAATAATAAATAATAATACTAATAATGATATCGGCATCATCAACCGGAGGACCCTGAGAAAAAAGAAACCCACACGACCACGGGGTGAGAGAGAGAGACACGCAAACTCCAAATATACAGCAGCAGCAGGCGTCAGGGTTGGGATCCAACCCACGACCTCCTGTGCACCAGGCGAGGTAGTTAACATCTCATAGCCACCGTGATGATGATGAGAAACGCAAACTCCAAATATACATACAGCAGCAGGCGTCAGGGTTGGGATCGAACCCACAAACTCCTGTATACCAGGCGAGGTAGTTAACATCTCCTAGCCACCGTAATGATTATGAGAGACGCAAACTCCAAATATACAGCAGCAGCAGGCGTCAGGGTTGGGATCGAACCCACAAACTCCTGTATACCAGGCGAGGTAGTTAACATCTCCTAGCCACCGTAATGATTATGAGAGACGCAAACTCCAAATTTACAGCAGCAGGCGTCAGGGTTGGGATCGAACCCACAAACTCCTGTGTACCGGGCGAGGTAGTTAACATCTCATAGCCACCGTGATGATGATGAGAGACGCAAACTCCAAATATACAGCAGCAGCAGGCGTCAGGGTTGGGATCGAACCCACAAACTCCTGTATACCAGGCGAGGTAGTTAACATCTCCTAGCCACCGTGATGATGATGAGAGACGCAAACTCCAAATATACAGCAGCAGGCGTCAGGGTCGGGATCCAACCCACGACCTCCTGTGCACCAGGCGAGGTAGTTAACATCTCATAGCCACCGTGATGATGATGAGAAACGCAAACTCCAAATATACATACAGCAGCAGGCGTCAGGGTTGGGATCGAACCCACAAACTCCTGTATACCAGGCGAGGTAGTTAACATCTCCTAGCCACCGTGATGATGATGAGAGACGAAAACTCCAAATATACCGCAGCAGGCGTCAGGGTTGGGATCGAACCCACAAACTCCTGTGTACCAGGCGAGGTAGTTAACATCTCCTGGCCACCGTGATGATGATGAGAAACGCAAACTTCAAATATACAGCAGCAGGCGTCAGGGTTGGGATCGAACCCACGACCTCCTGTGTACCGGGCGAGGTAGTTAACATCTCATAGCCACCGTGATGATGATGAGAGACGCAAACTCCAAATATACATACAGCAGCAGGCGTCAGGGTTGGGATCGAACCCACGACCTCCTGTGTACCGGGCGAGGTAGTTAACATCTCCTGGCCACCGTAATGATTATGAGAGACGCAAACTCCAAATATACAGCAGCAGGCGTCAGGGTTGGGATCGAACCCACGACCTCCTGTGCACCAGGCGAGGTAGTTAACATCTCCTGGCCACCGTGATGATGATGAGAGACGCAAACTCCAAATATACATACAGCAGCAGGCGTCAGGGTTGGGATCGAACCCACGACCTCCTGTGTACCGGGCGAGGTAGTTAACATCTCCTAGCCACCGTGATGATGATGAGAGACGCAAACTCCAAATATACATACAGCAGCAGGCGTCAGGGTTGGGATCGAACCCACAAACTCCTGTATACCAGGCGAGGTAGTTAACATCTCATAGCCACGGTGATGATGATGAGAGACGCAAACTCCAAATATACCGCAGCAGGCGTCAGGGTTGGGATCGAACCCACAAACTCCTGTATACCAGGCGAGGTAGTTAACATCTCCTAGCCACCGTAATGATTATGAGAGACGCAAACTCCAAATATACAGCAGCAGGCGTCAGGGTTGGGATCGAACCCACAAACTCCTGTGTACCAGGCGAGGTAGTTAACATCTCCTAGCCACCGTGATGATGATGAGAAACGCAAACTCCAAATTTACAGCAGCAGGCGTCAGGGTCGGGATCCAACCCACGACCTCCTGTGCACCAGGCGAGGTAGTTAACATCTCCTGGCCACCGTGATGATGATGAGAAACGCAAACTCCAAATATACATACAGCAGCAGGCGTCAGGGTCGGGATCGAACCCACGACCTCCTGTGTACCGGGCGAGGTAGTTAACATCTCCTAGCCACCGTAATGATTATGAGAGACACGCAAACTCCAAATATACAGCAGCAGGCGTCAGGGTTGGGATCGAACCCACAAACTCCTGTATACCAGGCGAGGGAGTTAACATCTCCTAGCCACCGTAATGATTATGAGAGACGCAAACTCCAAATATACAGCAGCAGGCGTCAGGGTCGGGATCCAACCCACGACCTCCTGTGCACCAGGCGAGGTAGTTAACATCTCCTGGCCACCGTGATGATGATGAGAAACGCAAACTTCAAATATACATACAGCAGCAGGCGTCAGGGTTGGGATCGAACCCACGACCTCCTGTGTACCGGGCGAGGTAGTTAACATCTCATAGCCACCGTGATGATGATGAGAGACGCAAACTCCAAATATACAGCAGCAGGCGTCAGGGTCGGGATCGAACCCACAAACTCCTGTGTACCAGGCGAGGTAGTTAACATCTCCTAGCCACCGTGATGATGATGAGAGACGCAAACTCCAAATATACAGCAGCAGGCGTCAGGGTTGGGATCGAACCCACAAACTCCTGTGTACCAGGCGAGGTAGTTAACATCTCCTAGCCACCGTGATGATGATGAGAGACGCAAACTCCAAATATACCGCAGCAGGCGTCAGGGTTGGGATCGAACCCACAAACTCCTGTGTACCAGGCGAGGTAGTTAACATCTCCTAGCCACCGTGATGATGATGAGAGACGAAAACTCCAAATATACAGCAGCAGGCGTCAGGGTCGGGATCGAACCCACGGTTTCCTGCATACCAGGCGAGGTAGTTAACATCTCTTAGCCACTATAATGATGATGAGACACGCAAACTCCAAATATACAGCAGCACGCGTCAGGGTCGGGATCGAACCCACGACCTCCTGCACACCAGGCGAGGTAGTTAACATCTCCTAGCCACCGCGGCGTGCCCATTGTCATGCAGTTTTAGGATATCACGAAGCGATATTTTATCAGCGTCGCAATGAAAATAAAACGATAATAATGATGATGATATCGGCATCATCAACCGGAGAACTCGAAGAAGAAAAAAACCTCACACGGCCACGGGGTGAGAGAGACAGAGAGACACGCAAACTCCAAATGTACAGGTGGGGGGGGCACGTTTTTCTTTGTCGTGTATGATGTCGTGCATGATGTCGTGATGAAGTCACTCGACATTCCTCGCAAGGCGAGAAGCTATTTTTTTTAAAGGCGCACCCTAAGACAGTGACACACACGCGCGCACACAGACACCAAGACACACAAAAGACAAAGGTCCCCCGTGTAGCCTGAACGGACTGTAGGGGCAAGTACTGTTAGCAAAGGCCAGCACGGCACACGAGGGGGTGGGTGACCAGCACCACGCCCGGCCGCCTTTGTCTCCCCAGTGGCGATGTTTTTACGCACCGCCATCCAAGTACTCATTTGAGGCTGAGTCGACCTAAGGGAGGCCCACCCAGGACCGGTCCAGACAATCGTCACCGTGGTGCTGGCAGTGAGCGGGAATCGAACCCGGGTCCGCCAGGTTCGTAGCGCAGTGCGCTAACCGCTGCACCACCGCTCCCCACTCCAACACACGCACCAACACACACACCCACGCATACCTATACACACACACACACACACGCATACCTATACATAGGCGAGTGCACACCCACACCCCCACGCATACCTATACATAGGCCACTGCACACCCACGCAACTTACGGAACACAATGCGTGTCTTACACGCAC